TCGCTTGTGCTCCCACATGTGGGCTGTGTGTCGTGTAGGGAAGGTTTAAATGCCCGTCAGAGCGGCCCTAGTACTTAACGTCCGTGCTTTGTGTTCGGTTGGTGACATGCCCCGGTCCAAATGTGTGAGGACTTGGCATGCTCTCCGTGTTGCATGTCTCCATGTCGCCTCCATGCTTTATGTTTGTACACGCTTGCTTTAGCTTATCTCGTTTGGCAGGGCCCGTCCACAGCTCTGGAGTGTGCAGGATGCTTCCTGTGTGGGATCCAGTGGCCTGTTTTCCTACATGTGGCTCTCACCACAGATGTGCCCAGTGATGTGACACACCGTAGGACCTGCCATTTATTTCGTAACTTTTGTCAGTGTGATTGACGTGAGCTATGCGCGTCTAACCCATTTGACATCCCAATGTGTTTATAAATATTGAAATATTTCTGCCTTGAGATGATTTGTCAGACCAAGAGTTATACAAGTATTGTTTGTTCTCCAGTTTCCCCAAGGCATTTTGTTGTTAGGTTTTGAGACAAGGTTTCTCAGTGTGGCCCAGGCTGACCTCAGACTCACGACAGTCCATCTGTCTCTGTCTCCTGTCTGCTGGGATTAAATGCGTCTGCCACCATGCCCAGCTAAGTGTTTTTTTGTTTGTTTTTGACAGTTTCACAGAGCCAGGCTGGCCTGGAATCCCTGACCTCGTACCCACACCTAGTGTCCCATGGGGCCCTCATTTGCTTTACTTTGCTGACCACCTGGCGTGTCTCTTCACATACGTTCCCCTTGCCGTGGTCTGTGTGGCATCGTTAATGTAATTCTGTCCAGTGGCAAGCCCCCCGCATCGGGTTTCTTTGGGGCCATTGTCTGTGCCCACTGTGCACTGCTGGCACATACTTGATGACAAGAGAGTGATGGTGTGTTGGTCCCACTCTGGTTTGCACTGCGGCTTCCCCATGGCTTTCTGTAAGGCTTGCTGTCAGTATTCGGGGGAGGTGACTTTTCCTAACTAATATTCCTTACGAAGGCAGTTACTTAGTTTCTGATCAGAGCTGTCCTGCAAGTGTAACTCAGAGTAGCCCAGCATGTGAAAAGCCCTGCACTGCAAAAGCAAAATGAAAGGAAACAAAAACCATATTGCCTATTATTAACTGATGAGTTGTGACTACAGCCTTATAATCCCTTTGCCAAGATTTACTGAGCCACCCACTGCACCTGCTTCTGTCTGGCGCAGATGTAAGGTGAGGTTGCTCACAGCCTGGAGTAGGTGAGCAGAAAAGACCAGTGAACGTTTTACCCAAGGTGCATTGTTGCTATCAGTAGTGCTCAAGCCCAGTGAGCAGCAGACTTACCTGGGAGGCACGTTAAACACAGTCTGGCCCAGTGCCCGGGGTTCATTACGTCTGGGTGAGGCCAGAAGTTCTATTTCTCCACCTTGACAACCACTGTTGTCATACAAAGCGTGGTGTGGTGGCCTACACCTATAGTCCCAGCATTCAGGAAGATTGTCCCCACCAGGCTGAGGACATTTAGGGCTATGCTAGAAATTTGTAATGAAAACATGGGCCTGGCAAGGTTCTGAAAGGTGGAGCTGAGCTGTGTGAAGCAATAGGAGGAGGTAGGGCCTGCCAGCCACAGGGAACAGTGTGGTCAAAGCCAGTCTGAGGAAGTGAAGAAAATTTTGGAGACAGAGAAATGTTCAGATTTGGGTTACAGAAGCCTGTCTGGTGGCCACGTGCAGGGACACGGAGGGTACTGAAGGCGCCGGATGGAACAGTTTACAAAGTCTGGAGGATGGGGTGGGCTCCTGTGTCCTCCCAGGCCCGTCCAGTTTTAGGAAGGGAGAGCCTTTGACCTGCCTGGAGGAGACACAGGCCCTGAACACCCTTCTTATGAGCCATGACCCTGCCTCAGGCAATGGGGCAGAGTAGAGGAAAAGGAACAAGGCAGGTTCTTCATGCTTGCCTCTCTTCTGCCTGGGGCTCTTCCCATCCTAGCAGGTGACTGCAAGTTCCTGCTCTTTCTCGTGAGATCTCTCAGTAGACCTGCTTGCCCACATTGCCTCCCTGAGGCTAGGAGGACAGGAATGGTTGGCCGGGTTTGCCTGTCAGTAGAAGTGCATTGGTATGTTGGGTGTAGGGTCATAAAGAACTCCACAGGGGAGAAGAGGAGGTTTTTCAGACATGTATTTACATTGCTTTATTG